TCAGCCAGGATTGGGGTAAAGTTGTTGGGAGGTGCTGGCGCCGTATTCCGAGGCAAGCAAACCTGTCAGCCAGGATTGGGGTAAAGTTGGTCGTCGAATGACCTGAATCGAACACTGGTGTTTGTTACCCCAACGACCGTAACGCCAATCAGTGTCGAAGTAAAGTAATGATGCAAAGTGCGACTCAGCTAAGGCAACGAATGCGCTGACCGTGTTGCGCCTCCGGAAAGGGCAAGAGAAGAAAGTGATGGATGCTGCCCCGATGCCCATCCCAGCCGAAACGAAAAGTGGGTATGTGAAGACCATCAACACTGCAGCTAGCTGCACATGTGCTGTTTGGCAGATGTCTCCACTTATCGGGTGCTTGTGCATTGCCGTGTATTCGCTGAATCCTGCTAAGGCAATCACGGACTTCAGCAAAAAATTCGAGTCCTTGTCAGCCACGCGGCCGCGAATCACTGGATTGATGGATTGTCCAGCTGGAGCGCTGGGCATGGATGCTTTGTTGATGAAGGCGTTGGACTCCTGCATCCAAGATGGTGTCGGCAAGGCCAGTCTTGTGCTGGACCGTGGAGCTGTGACTTCATTGCAACCCGTCTTATCAAGTACTGGCATTGTGGTTTTGATCGAGGTACGCTGGGATGAAGAAAGACTGGCTTGCATCAACTCAGGCTGAATGGCGACGGCGAGTTGAACGATGCGCAGAAGACAAAAGAATCCCAGAAACTCAAGGGTGCCGTTTTGCAAGCGTTCGCCGCGAAAGCCACGTATGCTGGCAACATCCCAGGCCCGAAGTAGGGCTCTGATGAATTGAATTTTCTGATTCTGAATCCTGAGTCTGCTTTTTTGCTCTTTTCGTCTTTTGACTCGCATCTTGACAGCGCGCTGTGCATTTGCTTATGACATGGCAGGAAATCTTGGAGCCATCCACTACCAACGGCAAGGATCCAAACATGTCATCGCAATCAGCTACCGGGATGCTTTGGCTTACGCTTCTGGGGGACTTGGACCAGCAGCCGAAGGCCAGGCGAGCAACAGGTCTCCTGTCGTGGCGGCTATTCAGGCCATTCAGAACATGACTGAAGAGTGTGAGCGCCCACCAGGGCTGAAAAAGGTGATTTGGCTGAGCACCAATTTCGCATTTTAAGCCTTTGAAGCTGGACAGTTGACTGTTTGACTGTTGGACGATGTTTTGCTAAGGCTTACGTGTGTTCCGGTGACATCGTGTACTACCCGCCTTGCACGCTCATCTTTGAGTATGCTGTGCCAAATGGTGGCGACAACGTGGGCTACCGCGTGAACTCGATGTTCGCGCCTAATGTGCCAGAGCTTCTGGAGATCTTGAACGAGATGAACAACGCGGCACCCCAAGACGTTTCCCCCAGCACACTGCTCACGATTCAGGCCCTTCGGGAGTGGCAAGCTTCTAGTGCAGCCAGAGCTCCGCAGGGTGGCTCACCGATCCCGGAGGAGACCTCGGCCAGCAGTGTGCTTTGCAAGAAACCTTGCGACCTTCGCCAGATGTTGCCCAAGCTGTCTGAGCGTCTTCTGGATGAGGTGATTCAAGCAGTAAAGGAGCACAGTGCTTTCGATGCGTACTGTGACTATGTGTGTGGTGAAATGGGATGTGATCGCGGACCTGGTGAAGATCAGTATGAATTCGGTGGTGCAGACACTGATGTGCAAGAGGCAAGAAGCTTGCAGAGTTGTGTGAGTCCAATGACTGTCTGTCCACAGCCCCACACCTTCCACCTTAAACACTAAACCCGACACCCCATACCCTAAACCAACGCAACATGGCAGGACATCATCGGATTTGTCGAGTTCATCCAGCAAAAAAATGGGGATCCGGGCCCGGATGCTACCTGCCACAAGGAGCCCAAAGTTTGAGGTCTCAAGCGGTGCGGGGTATGTTTTCAAGTATGTTTTCAGGTTCTGCTTGTTGGGTGGGGGTGCGTTATTGGCAAGTTTCGTATTCCTCGGTAGCGCGGATCTTGGTTTGCATTATAAGTTTAAGGTAGTCCTCACATCCTGGTATCTATATATATATATATATTGATTTATATTCAAAGCATTTGAGCAGGCCGGGGTTCATATGGTGGGTCCGAGGGAAAGGAGGCCCGATAAACAGCCTACCCGAAAGTCCGAAAGGTTCAGCTTGCAGGCCCAGGCCCTAAACACTAACAGACTTTGGTCTACATGCCCCACTGCCTAAACTTCATCGTCTCATTTTCAATCTGTTGGCCCCGAGGTCCTAAACCTAAACTGGTCCTGAATCTGAACTTCCTGATAACACAATCCCAAGCCCGAAAACTCGAAACTGTTTGAGCCGAGTTGTGAGCTTTGAACTAGCTTTGAGTCTTGAAGCGACGTTGGGCCTCGGACCTCGGAGCACAGACTTCATTACATAGGCCAGGTGCCGTCGGCTTTAAACTCAAAGCAGCATTCCCTAACCCAACTCTGACCCGACTTCCTTCGTCCCGATTCGGACCCGGACTGCCTCAGGAGAGCGATGCGGACTCGTCTGCCGAGTCTGAGCTTGATGCTCAGTTAAATTCAGGTGATGCTCACAAAGATCGGGAGAAGATCCAGGCCATGAAAGTTGAATCAATCGTGCACTCTTGCCGTGTGATTCTGTGCGTGTGCGCTGATATACCTCTGCGAGTCCCCTGAAGTTTTAGGGTTTAGGGGTTAGGGGCTTAGTTTAAGGTTGTCGTGCCCAAACCATCCCAAACCAGTAGTAAGCTCCTCGCCGGGGTGTTTGGATTGGTTTGACTGTGGCAAACCGCGGGGGCGGCAGTGGCGGGCGGCCTGGCTGCCCACTGAGTCACTGAGTCCTGTGAGCTGGCAGGCTGCAGCGTTCGGAGACAAGAAGACCGCTGAGCCTGCCGCTGCCCAGGCCCAACCTATGTGGTACTATGTAGTGGACTTTGGGTTGGAATATGTGGCTTCGCATGTGTGTCCTAAGATTACTACGTGTGGCAGGCGAAAGTGGCCGAAAACATTGAGCCCGCTGAGCCTGCCGAAGCCCAGGCTATGTCGGAGACGCTGAGCTGGGCATTTGGTTTTGCATGTCTGTCCTAAATTTGACGGGAAGGCCGTTGAGTCCGCTCGGCCTGTCGCAGATCAGGCTATGTGGTATATTTTGGGCTGGAGGATTTGGCTTCGCATGTGTTTCCTAAGATTACTAAATGTGGCAGGCTAAAGTGGCCGAAGACATTGAGCCCGCTGAGCCTGCCGAAGCCCAGGCTATGTGGTAGACTCCGAGCTGGAGTATTTGGTTTTGCATGTCTGTCCTAGATTTGACAGGCTGCAGCCGCCGAAGACATGAAGACCGTGGAGTCCGTTCGGCCTGCCGCAGATCAGGCTATGTGGTAAACTTTCGGTTGAAGTATTTGGCTGAGCATGTGTGTCCTAATTGTGGCAGGCTGAAGTGGCCGAAAACATTGAGCCCGCTGAGCCCTCCGAAGCCCAGGCTATGTGGTAAACTCGGTTTGGCAGGTCTGTCTGTCCTAAGTTTGTCAGGCTGCAGCGGCCGAAGACAAGAAGCCCGCTAAGCCTGCTGCTGCCCAAGCTATGTGGTCAACTTTGGGCTGGAGTATTGGGCCTTGTATGTGTGTCCTAAGTCTGGCAGGCTGAAGAAAACAACGGGCCTGCCAAGCCTGCTGAAGCCCAGGTTGTGTCAGTGTTGTAGGCTCGGTCGTTTTGCATGTCTGCCCAAAACTCGACAGGCTGAAGCGGCCGAGGGCATTGGGCCCGCTGAGTCCGCTGGGCCTGCCACTGCCCAAGATAGGTGGTAGACGTTGGCTGGAGTGGAGTATTTGGTTTTACTTGTCTTTTCTAAGTTTGACAGGTTGATTTGGCCGAAGACGAAGAGCCATCGAAGCCTGCCGCTGCCCAAGCGATGTCGTACGCTTTCGGCTGGATTATTTGGCTTTGTCCGCCTGTCCTACCTTTGACAGGCTGCAGTGGGCAAAGACAAAGGGCTTGCTGAGCCGGCGCGTGTGGCTCTTTTTGTGAAGTGTCAAACATGTCCCCTCAACGGTTCTCGTTGCGGGCGCAGGCAACTCGGGAAGAACTCAACAAGTTGAAGGTCTGCGATCTCAGGGAGAGGCTCAAGGTGCAGATGACGCCAACGACTGCCGAGGTCCTCACCCCTAGCGGTCCCTGTATAAGCCTTGAGCATTAGTTAAGCCTACTACACCAACCCATAATCCGTAGATTCCTGAGGATTCCTGAGACCGTCGGATTCTAGAAGCCAGAGAGAAATAGACATTGAAAGTCCATAAAGCCTGCATCGCCTAAAGTCTGAGTGTGGAATCAAATCTGGTGAGGTCTGTTGGATTATCTAATTTGGCCCTTTGACCAGAATGCTGAGTACCGGAGGAGCTAGCGGAGATCAGGGGCGCAAAGAAGGAGAAGTTGGTGGAGATGCTCATGCGCCGGCATCCGAAGTCTCAGAACATAGCCAATTTCATGAAATGCAAGCCGGCGGTGGCTGCGGAAGAGCCGGTCCAGCCCTAGATCTTGTGACATCCGGGGAAAGTTGGCACTTGCACAGCGCAATCAGCGCTGACAGTCGGGCTCAAACAAGTATTTTCAGATATATTTTGTTTTATTATACATATATATATATATGTGTGTGTGTGTGTGTGTGTGTTTGTGTAGGAGTAGGCCCCATCCCACATAGTCTTGACAGTTTGCGCCTGACTTGCTGTACGACTGCAGTTTGAGCTAGCCGTGGAGCGGCGCAAAAAGCCTGGGCTTCGCTCATTTCGATTGTGTTTGCGTTCGTCGGGCTAGGCCTAGGTCTTAAAATGAGCCCTACAACTTATGCCCTTATGCAAACCTACACGTAAATGAAGACCCAAGCTTAAACATGACACCTCGACGTGGGAGAAGACCTTGCACTTGCTCGGCCACATTGTATTATCGCCCCTGCGTGTCAACTCGTAGTTCAAACTTTCACGTATTGCGATATCAGTTTCTGAAGTCCTTCGCGAAGTGTCGTGGAGGCTCGGACCAGAATCACGGTGAAGGCTTCAGGTTACGGCTAAAGGGAGTCGAAATCTAGTGCACCTGTGTATGTATACCTTTGCGTTTATATGTACGTCGGTAAAGTTAGTTATATATGTGGGCAAGTAGATAGATGTATGTTTCCGTGTATGTCGTATGTTTGTATGAGAGTATGTCAATGTTTGTAGAACCAAAGTGACAAAGATATTTTCGGCATGGCCCTAGAGACGTTCGAGGCCCTCAAAAGCCCAAAGTCCTTAAGCCCCCCAGGTACCTGGCTCAGGGTTTCCGCTCTCATGCTCATGATGCTTTGTTCGGCTCACAGAATACATGTGTATTGAAACGTGTGTCATGCTCTTGATGCTTGCGACTCCAAGGTCTTGTGCAGTGTAGCTCAACCGCTTGTGGTTAAGATGCCCAGGATGCTCGATGAAATCCCAACACCATATGACCATGAAACTGTTTCAATGGCCACATGTGGTTTGTTTCATGTGTGCTCCTCAGGTTTGCACGGTTTGTGCCAATGCGTGTTGGCAAACTCTGTTTTATTGACGGCGAATTTCGGTGCATCTGAGTCATCTAATCAAAAACGGAAATGGGTCACACATAAAATTCCTTCAAGCTTGAAGTCAGAAGCAAGGGCACTGAAATTGACTAGTTTTGGCAATAAGTTGAGACGCATAGAAAATATAGTTCCGTCGAAAACGAACTAACCACTATATTCCTCCACCCGTGAGAATTAGCATCTAAACCATTCGCTTAGCAAAGTACGAT